AGTTGGCACATCTTTTAAAGAGTGCACCCTCTTCAGAGGATCTTAAATCAAGATGGGTGTCCATCTGGGAAAGAAAGAAGTTTGTGGTTTGGTCTGAGGGCAGGGAAATAAGAACCCCTTTCTCGTTCCATTGTATGGGGGCATGAGATTTACAACACACACCTCCACCTACGAGATTTGTCTGCATGGAGCCAGGAGCTGGAAAGGCAAGATGGGCATGAAGAAGGCCTCAGGCTACTGGGAGGCCTGGGATGTGGGCAATGAGAGGCTGCCCAGAGAGCAGACAGTCTGAGGTATCAGAAATGACTGGTAGGGATAAATCCTGTGAGCAGGTGGTGAAGATGCACCAGAGTTGGTGAGGATGTCCATTTCCTGATCCTCTATTTGAGGTTGAGTGGTGGCTTCTGGGGTGGGACTCACGACCAGCCAGCCCGGCAAGAGATGAGGAGCTGTCCCACATGAGGGGAGATCAGAGCCTCTGAGGTTCTGGGGTCAGGGAGATTGTTTCTCTAGCATTCCTGTCTCTGGGTTCAGGACCCGTGTCTCCTCAGTGTCTCCTTTGCAGTGTCTGCAGCTCTGGAGAGAAACAGGCTCAGTGGCCGTGAGCCAGCGGGGATCGAGTTTCTCCCAGACTCACAGCTTTTGCCTTTGTAGAGACTCAGTTTGTCAGACAAGGATGGTTGATTTTAATCCATTTTTCCTCCTGTTTTCCTGTAAGCTATTTTCAAATACTTGACCAGTAGCTTCTAAAATAACGCTGAAAGATGGTCTTGCCCATCCAACCACACTCTTCTGGATTTTCCACTTTATATCAAGGAGAAGATTTCTGACTAAGGTGGGAATTGATTGATTTCTGTGTTCTGGGGCCGTGGTTCAACACAGCCTGCCTTTGAAAAGTCTGCATACAGTGTTCCACAGAGGCCCTGGGACGGTCCCCTTCATTCTGAGGCCAATCTTAGTCTCACACCCACTCGCCTCACAGGGAGAGGTCTCACAGCCATGCTAGTGACTTGGAAGTGGTACGTCATGGTTTCTAAAAATTTTCACTTCCCTGATGATGTTGGGCACCTTTTCATGTGCTCATTGGCCACTGCAGATCTTGTCTGGAGCACCGTTTGATCAAGCACTTTGTCCCTCCCCCCCCCCCCGCCACACCTTTTTCTTCTTTTATAGATTGGCACCTGAGCTAACAACTATGGCCAATGTTTTTTTTTTTTCTGCTTTGTCTCCCCAAATCCACCCTGGTACATAGTTGTATATCTTAGTTGCAGTTCCTTCTAGTTGTGGCATATGGGACGCTGCCTCAACGTGGCCTGACAAGCAGTGCCATGTCCGCGCTGAGGATCCGAAGGCTGGGCCACCACAGCGGAGCGCACGAACTTAACCACCAGGCCATGGTTCCGGCCCCTGCCCCTTCCACTTTGTAAAGTGGGGGGTTTAGCGGTTGTTGTTGAGTTGGAAATGCTCTTCATATATTCTGGATACTCAACACTTATCAGACTTACTAATCTTTCCTTCCATTCTGTAGGTTGTCTTTTTGCTTCCTTTATAATATTCCTTGATACCAAAGGTTTTTAGGGGTGTTTTTGCTGAGGAAGATTCACCCTGAGCTGACATCTGTTGCCAGCCTCCCTTTTTTTGTATGTAAGCCACCACCACAGCTTGGCCACTGAGAGAGGAGCCGTGTAGGCCCACACCCAGGAAGCAAACTTAGGCCGCTGAAGTGGAGCGTGCCAAACTTGATCACTAGGCCACTGCAGCTGGACCCAAGGATTTCTAGTTCTGATGAATAACAATATTTCCATTTTTTTTTGTAGCTGTTGTTTTGGTGTCATCTCTAACTATCTGTTGACAAGTCTGAGATTCACTTGTAGGTTTTCTTCCACAAGTTTTATGATATTAGGTCCTACATTCAGATCTTTGATCCACTTTGAGTTACTTTTAGAACATGCAGTAAGGTTGGGGTACAATTTTGTTTTATTTTGCATTTGGAAATGCAGTTGCTGGGGATACCTCATTTCGTGTTCCTGGCACCCCTGTTGAACATCAATTGACCATAGATGGATGGATTTATGTCTGGACCCTTAATTCTACTCCACTGATCTGTTCATCATTCCTCATACCAGTACCACACTGTTCTGATTATTTTTGCTTTGTAGAAAATTTTGGTGTCAGGAAGTTAGTCTTCCAATTTTGTTTTTCTTTTTCAATATTGTTTTGGCTGATGGTAAGCCATAAATTCTCTATTAACTTGAGGATTCACTTTCCCTTTTCTGATAAAGTGTTGCTGGAATTTAGAGAAGGAAAGCATGGAATATGTAGATTACTTTGGGGGAAGTATTGCCATCTTACAATACAAAACATCTCCCACTCTCTGAGCACAGGATATCTTTCTGTATATTTAGGTCTTTAATTGCTTTCAGTTATGTTTTGTAGTTTTCAGTGTACACATCTCTCATGCCCTATGATAAATTTACCCCTAGGTATTTTATTCTTTTACATGTTATTTTGAATGGACTATTATCTTCATTTCCTTTCTGGAGTGTTCACTGCTGGTGTAAATGAATCCTAGGTGCAGATTGACAACTGAAAGAGACCAGTGTTAAAAGCTACATACTGCACAATTTCATTAAAGGCTATTCTGGGAGTGGAAAACTGTAGTTAGGATAAACATTTCAGTGGACACCAGGAATTTGAGGAAGGGTGGTGAAAAGTGAAGCACAGGTGACGTTCAGGGTGTTGAATTGTGAAGCACAGGTGACGTTCAGGGTGGTGAATTGTGAAGCACAGGTGACGTTCAGGGTGGTGAATTGTGAAGCACAGGTGACGTTCAGGGTGGTGAATTGTGAAGCACAGGTGACGTTCAGGGTGGTGAATTGTGAAGCACAGGTGACGTTCAGGGTGGTGAATTGTGAAGGACAGGTGACGTTCAGGGTGGTGAATTGTGAAGCACAGGTGACGTTCAGGGTGGTGAATTGTGAAGCACAGGTGACGTTCAGGGTGGTGAATTGTGAAGCACAGGTGACGTTCAGGGTGGTGAATTGTGAAGCACAGGTGACGTTCAGGGTGGTGAATTGTGAAGGACAGGTGACGTTCAGGGTGGTGAATTGTGAAGCACAGGTGACGTTCAGGGTGGTGAATTGTGAAGCACAGGTGACGTTCAGGGTGGTGAATTGTGAAGCACAGGTGATGTTCAGGGTGGTGAAACTTCTGTATGGTACGACAATGGTGGATCCACAATGCTATGCATTTGCCAAAAGCCAAAGAATTTTATAGCACAAAGAGTGACCCTTAAGGGTTACAATTTAAAAATCATGTAGTAGGTCATGGATCTCAGCGTGGGATACAGACTGTGTAAAACTAACGGCATTATAAATTTTGAGACAAACTTACTGAGTGTGATGGGGGCAACAAGGTCCTGACCTGAGTAATTTCCAAAATGAGTGGAGTTTGCAAGAGTTCAGGTTGAAAGAAGTGCTGTGCCTTCCAGCTGACCGAGCTGTTTCTCATGCGAGGGTGTGCTGCCAACTCTGAAGCCACTGTGCACTTACGCTGGCACTGAACGATTAAGAAAGAAATGGCCTATGATGCTAGCCAGACTTCTTACTGCTGGAGTGGGAGGTTCTAGGCGACAAGAGAGGAGGCTAGAGAGGTCCATGTGGTAGAGTAGTAGGGCTGGAGGCACCAGGACATTCTCGAGCTTAGTTTAATATCAGTAAAGAACATTAGATTCAGAAATTCTTGTAGATATCTGTGTGTACATTGCTGAGTATACTCACATATTTCCTTGGTCTGCCAGCTGAGTGCTCATAGAAGCAATGACACTCCAGGAGAAAGGGTACACCAGACCAAACTCCTGGTTTCTAATACACTTCCACAGCAAAGAAAAACAGAATTCCTTAGAGACATGGCTAGTTCTAGGGCTTGGAAAGGGAATACTCAAGATGAGGCTGGAGCATCTTGCAGTAGCACAAAGTAAGGAATTGATAAAAAAAAAATACAGAGGAATTCCAAAAGGATCTAGGAGGCAACACCAAAGTGCCCCCAAAGGATAAAAATCTTGGGACAACTTGAACAAAATGAATACTGTAATATTTAATTTCAATGCAAAGTTTAAAATAAGTATCCATGAGTCCATACTGATGTTAATAAATGAATGAATGAAACACATGGGGGAGAGGACCAATCTCCACATGGAAGAATTCCAAGTAACTGGTGTAATTCTACCTTCCAGATTAAGGAGCTCAATCCCTTGAGTGTGGCCTCGCTTAGGAACTTGGGAGACCCCCTGGATGTCCTTTGATTTGTCCACAAGGTTTTATAAATAAGACCAAAAACATGTTCCCTGAAAAAATTGATAAATTAGAATGCATCAAATTTAAAAAACTTTTGTTTGTGGAAGGCAGTGTTACAGGAATCTAAAGGCAAGCCACGACAAAAGGATATAATTCCAAATATCGTATTTGGTAAGTACTTGTATGGTGGAAACACAAAGACACGTACAACTGAACAGAAGAAAACAAACAACTCAATTAAAAAAGGAGCAAAGATCTGAACCTAGCAAACAAGAAAAACAGATGGCAAATAAGCTGATGAAAAGACTCTCAACATCACATGTCACTAGGGATTTGCAAATTAAAACAATGAGAGGCCAATACCCACCTCCTAGGATGGCGAGAATCCTGAACACGGGCAGCACCAAATGCTGCTGAGGATGTGGAGCGCCAGAGACTCTCGCCCATCGGTGGGGGCAGCAAAGGCACCCGGGCGGCAGTTTAACACTCTCCTCTGGAGTCACACCTGCACTTTTCACCTGAGGGAGCAGTCCTGCTCTAAGACAGTAAAACAAATCATTTAAAAACAGGTTCACACAAGAACCCCCATGGGAATGCTTACATCTGCCTTATTCATTGAGCTTCTCCTTGCTCCCTAAAGTTCGCTTACAGGGTGATTGTTGCATGCAGCATCCCCCTTAAAAACATGTGTACACGGTTCTGTTGTTCCTTTTACTCAATTTCTAACCCTGTTTTCTAAGGAAGCCAAGAAATGAATCATGCTCCCTGCATCGCCTCCACCCAGCACAGCTGCCGTCTCCCTCAGGGTTTCTGACACGCTCAGGATGTGGGTTATCACACTGTGTCTGTTGCACAGTAATACACGGCTGTGTCCTCAGATGCCAGACTGCTCAGCTCCATGTAGACTGTGCTCGTGGACTTGTCCGCAGTCATGGTGACTCTGCCCTGGAACTTCTGCGGGTAGCCCATAGCATCATATTCAGGATAGATATATCCCGTCCACTCAAGCCCTTGTCCAGGGGCCTGTCGCACCCAGCTCATAGAGTAATAAGTGAAGCTGTCTCCAGAAGCCTTGCAGGAGACCTTCACGGATGCCCCTGGCTTCTTCACCTCAGCCCCAGACTGCACCAGCTGGACCTCGGAGGAGACACCTGTGGAGAGAAGACAGGAGTGGATGAAATCCCCCTTCACTGGCCCTGGTCTCCTCCTCATCCTCGGATCCGGGGAACTGATTACCTGCAGCCACTGCCACCAAGAAGAGGATGCTCCAGCTCCAGTCCATGCTGAGGGGCTGTGCTCTCAGGGCTTCTGTGTGGGAAGGAGTGGCTGTTGGGTGATGCTCTCAGGGCACAGACATGTCAGTATTTAACTAAGTACACTTCATATCATTTGCATATTCAGGAACCTAAATATTTCACAGTTGATACTTGTCTTAACCTGAGAGAAGGTCGATGACACAGGGACCATGCTTAGTGGGAAGCTGAGATCCCAAGTCCTAATCCTTGTTTGAGGATACATGTCCCCTGCCATTGTCCCTGAACCATTTGCAGACAGACTCCTCCCACTGAGGAACAAGCACGCACAAGAAATGCTCCTCATTGTGAACCCACCTTTGAATGGCACAGAGACCACCTGAACCTGTTCTGGGTTTTGACATCTGAATGTCTTACTCCTGAGGTCAGAGTATCTCCCAAAACTCTGCAACCATGGGGTTAATAAAAACATCCCTGGCCCCCAGCTCATTATAATTAAGATCTCTAGAAGGCCTAGAAATACCCACTTTGAATGTGGCTCTCGCTGACTTATGGAGTAAGGTAAATGCTCCCAACAGCACACCATATTTGAAGGCACAGCAGCAGTCCTTGTCAAATTCTCAGTATAGATTTTTTTTTTTCTTTTTTGAAAAAAGAAAACTCTCACAGGAAGCCCCTCTCAATCCCCCTGTGCACCTGCGCCAGGGCTGGAGCCCTGTGCTGGGAGGTTCTGAGCGCCCCCTGCCGCCCAGCCCCTGCCCTGCAGGGAGGGTCCTATCTGGGCTCAAAGGGCGTTTACCACTCAGTGTCTCTCGTTCATTACTGATGGCTGTGCCCTGGCTTCAGGATGCTCCTGCAGTGACACCATGTGCATTTTGACATCATCTCTTGAAATAGTGAACTGGCCTTACTAAGCCCACATGCTCTGCAGGGAGACCCCAAACAAGGCTTTTATGAAACCAGGGGGGAGCCCCTTCCCTGGAGCTGCACGATGATCTGATATGGTCCACACCCACGGGGAGTCCAGGAACCCTGGGGGCCTTTGGCAGAGCCCCACATCTCCTTCAGGTTCCTCTGCTTTATCATCACATCAGAGATCCCTGCACGTAGAAACCATGGGCTCCCGGTCTGATCCACACCCACTGTGCCATAACACACACACACATACATCCTGTAGCTGATATTTGCAGTAATGAGCCCCAGATTTGCCCTTCTTTCCTGTACCTGGCACGTGGGCAGTGCTCATCACACAGACTCTAGGCCTGGGTATGTGACCAGCTTTGAGAAAAAGGACAGAAGAGACACGATGCCAGTGGAGACTGGAAAGTGTGTGCACGTTGCGTTTCTTCTCCAAGCGCCTGGAACTCTCCACATGCCTCAGCGAGAAGGGTCCAGGAATGTCCCATGGAAGGTCAGACCCAGGGTCAAACCAGCCCAGTCAGTTTGACCAACACTGAGCCCCCTGGATGTGTATGGAGGATCTCACTAAACCTACAGACTCAGCTGGGCTCCATTCTCAGAGGGCACAGCCCCAGGAGCTCTGAGGGCAGGGCCGTGAAGGGCCCTCGATGGAGCAACATCCCCATCTCCAGGAGCAGAAGCACCTGCTGATGCAGGAAGAGGGGACTGCAAAAAGTGAGCGTGGTGGGTCGGAGTCCCTGTGGGGCAGAGTGTCTGGGATGGGCCTCTGCTGCTCCCCTTCTCTGGTGGGGGCATCTCTCCTGGTCATCACTTCCCTGTCTCACCTATGCAGGTGGGCTCCTTGGGGGCACTGACTCATCTTTTTAGTTCTGTAGTCTCTGGAACAGAAGAGCCACACTTAAAAAGCCTCAGTTGGGGAGATGCATCTGCTTCCTGGCCTGGTTAAAATGACTCCAGACTTGAGCCTGATGCTGTCTGTGGAGGGACCATGTGGCTCTCCCTGTGAGGTGAACACATGCTGCCTCTGTCCTGGGGGGACTCAGATGACTGCAACAGTGTCCACCCTCCATCCCGTACACAGGGCCCTGTGCAGTGCATCCTCGCAGCCCCTCCCCCGAGAGGTGGGGTCTGAGTCTCTACCCCAAACCCTGGCTGGGCCCTGGGACTCACTGCCACCCACCAAGAGGCCTGGACAGTGTGGGGACTCTGGGCTGCCGCTGCTGCCTAGCACCCTCCAGACAACACAAAGTGCATGAGCCTGAGGAAGGGGCTGAGGACAGACTCGGGCAGTCACCCCCTGACTACTCTTAGTCCTGCAGCTGAGGGTACCTGGAGACTCCCATGCCTGATGGAAGGGAGACTGCTGAGAAGTCAGAGGAGGAGGGGGAAGCATCATTTTCAGTGGATTCAGGTGAGGCTGCCCTGCAGGTTCACCAGGTGGGTTGCGCAGCAGCCAGCAGGTGAGCAAGCTCAGCTCCATGAGGGGCACCCTTGCCTCTGCAGGACACCTGGTAACTAGGACGGACTTGGGATCCTCCATCCTCAGGGCTCCATTCTGCTGGTCATCTTCCTTCCTGACCACCTGCCCCATGGACCTCAGGCCCCCGTCAGACATGACAACAGGCTCACTGCACAGTGACCCACAACCATGCAGCGAGTTCCCCGTGGGAAATCCTGTCTCCTCCTGGATCTGCACCTCCGGTGGAACCGTGATGATGGACACACCCGGATACACCTGGAGGGTCTGCCTGGAGAAGGTTCTGGGTGGATTTCTCAGTGATTAATCTCCCCTTCCCCTGTCAGAGGCATGAGGGGACAGGTCTGGATCCTCACCTTAGAACCTGGAGGTTTCTGGAGGGAGATTCCACAAAGGTGTGGGGTGTGGACCCAGGAGCTCTCACCCTCACACTACCCACCTGTGTCCCCCAGCCGTTCACAGCTACCCTGAAAGTGCTCCACCTCTCTGTGCCTCCAGCGCTTCTGTTCCAGGCGGCTGATCTCACCATGGCTTCTGGATGTGCCTGTGTTTCCGCTTATTGGGGTGGAGGTTTTCCCCACAGTTTCTCTGATTGATCAAGGAAAAGTCACTAATTTTCAGTTTTCCCACCTTTTTTTGGTAAGAATAAGAGTTATGATTTCCAAGATCTTTACATGTCAGAGCAGAAACCAGAAGCTCCCTTAGAGGTCCTTAGAGGATGCAGAAAACTAATCTCACCAAGTGCAAGTGGACCCTGGACAGACATCACTGAGCATCTCAGAGATTTCAAGCCTCTCCCAGCAGCTGGAATTCAGAAAGCACAACAGGCAAAGAACCAGGTAAGTCTCATGTGATGTCATGTTCTGGAAGGATGTCCTTGCCCTGGAGGAACCCAGTAGGTGCACCTGGAACCTCACAGTTGGGAACAGGAACTCTCATTCCTTAAACTCAAGACATACCCATGAGAAAGCCGTTTCCCAGAGGGAGGGCAGAGCAGCGTGGAGCAGATGGAGGCGTCCAACCAGGAGCAAACAGAAAGCAAGTAAAATAGAACTGAAAAAAAGTAAAAGGAATCCTGATTAGATGCTTGTGCCCCTCCTAGTCACACTCTGCCTTCTGTGCATTCTATAATGTTCCATCCTATTGCAGCAAATCTTTCTGAATTCGGAGACATCAGTGGAAGGCACAGAATCATTAATCTGGAAAGGTTCCCTGGGAAAACTGTTAGAAGAGAGGAAGCCCCAGATGCTGGCAAGAAACCTGCTCTTAACCTCCACTGCACCTGCCCTGGGCTGGTCCCCTCTGCTTGATAGCACTTGAGCACCCCCTTGTGTCCTGAGCGCCTCCTGCAGCCCTCCTGTGTCCCTGGTCCCCCTGTCTCCCTGCAGGGAGGTCGGTGTCTGGGTTCGCACTGACTTCCCCTCATTGTGTGTCTTGCACAGTGACACATGGCCATGCCTTCCAGGGTCACAGAGTTCAGCTGCAGTGAGAACTATTTTTAACGTGTGTCTCTGGATGTGGAAGTGTGGATCTGAGGGATGGGCTATAGTTAGTGTTCCCATTATAAAATATCAGCTCAGTCCACTCCAGCCCTTTCTCTGGGAACTGGCGGATCCAGTAACAGCAGTAACCACTGGTTGTGATGGAGCCTCCAGTGACAGTGCAGGTGAGGGAGAGGGTCTGTGAGGCTTCACCAGTCCTGGGCCCGACTCCTGCAGCTGCACCTGGGACAGGACTCCTGGGGACAAGGAGAATCAGTCCTGTCAGTCACGTTCAGTCACAGCCATCCCTGTAGACCCAGGTCTGACATCTGTGACACTCACCTTTAGGAGCCATCACCAGGCAGAGAAGAAGACTCAACAGTCTCATCTTCTTATAGAGCACAGCTCACCTCCCCCAGAGACCTCAGCCCTGTCTGAGGAGAGAGCTGTGTGCTCCCACAGCCCAAGAGTGGATTTTACCTTCCAGCGTCAGGAGAATTTTGCATGTGGGGAGCCCAGTCCTTCTAAGTTGAGAGGGACTGAGGTCAGACCCTCTAGTCCTTCTGGGGCTCCTGCGAGGTGTCTCTTCCCTGAAATCACTCAACATGTAAGTCTAGGAAGGGGAGCACTTGGTTTGTGAGATGCATTGGATCAAGTCAAAGAACAGCTTCACCTTTCTAACGATAAGGTAAATGTTGGGATAGATGAGTAGATTAAATTTTATAAATCTCATGCTTCTTGAAATAGATATTAAAAGGGATTAGCATTTTTCTAGATAGTTTTGATGCCCAACACTTTACCATATCCACAATTGTCAAATTATAATAATTTTATATATAAATAATATTTTGAAGTCTGCCTTGGTATAAAAATAATCACAAAATTATGGACAGTTCTTCTCATATCTTTTTAAAAAAAATTCAAGCACTTATGACCTTACTTTGATGTGAGTAACTACCTCCCAAGCACAGGCATAATGGGAGACCCTTGGTTCTTGATGTCGGGAGTTTTAAATTGTGTCTATGGCTCCCTGTGCAAACCCTTCCCTTGAGTCAGCCTGTGGCGTGTTCCAGAGAACCTAAACTCATTACATCAGGAATAATCACGCTTTTTCACTGAGAAAAATCAAAAAGAAAAAGAGTGATTTGGCATCTGTATAATCCAGCATCTTGCAAATATTGACATTATTACAGCTGAGGATTAACTGGCCTGCTTTCTCAGCCTAGTGTTAGCAGTGAAGTA